AAGGAATGAGGTGCCACAAGTGAGACCCGTGGTTTGCGTTTCCAGCTACTGAGTGTAGCGTCTTCCAGCTTGGTGGCCAGGAGTTATTCAGGGGTGCTCATTTCCACTGTCCACTGCATCATCTCATCACTTGGGTTTGCAGGGGTGGTGTAACCGACAGCTGCCATGTCACTGAAATGTTTGCAAAAAGATGCAAGGACAAAGTGCTGCACACAATCCTGTTAATATGGATGTCACACATAATATTCTAGCACTCTAACAATGCACTACAAAAAGCATACTTGCCTGCTAACAATAATCGTGGTCCAGGGATACCTCCTCCAGGGCAGACACCTCAGCAGATAGCCGATCCCGCCAGAGAGCACCACTGCCTGCCTCCAAACCAGCCTCCCCCTCATCTTGCACGTCATCCTCGGGGGCCACAGCATCCTCAACAGCGAGGCAGATGTTGTTATGACCTGAAACAGATGTTTTGTGTTGTAAATAGCGTCCTAATACATGAGCATACAGTCCCCATTATATCATGATGATTATTAGTGAAGCAATGGCTATGTATCCTACTGACTTATATGTGGCACAAAGGTGTGGTGCTTGGAGGAAGATGGCCCGGAACCTTGTCTTCATCATTGCCCTGGAATGATGAGAACCTTGGACTGGCCTCTTGTTGGGAGTGATGATGGGGAGTGGATGCTGGAGACATGGGTACCCTCCATCTGCAAGGATGAAATGCCCTGGAGGAGGGTAAATGGCCTGCCAATACAGTGGGCTGTTGCGGAGCCATGCACGGACCCCGTCCAGCCCACATATGTATCAATGATGCGGCCCTGAGGGTCACAAACCGTCTGCAGGATAATGGAGGGGACCAATTTCCTGCTCCTGTAGCACTGACCGTCAGGGCCACTGGGAGGCTTGATGGGGACATGGCAGGAGTCAATTGCACCAGTAGCTTTCAAAAAGGCTCTGTGTTTTGCCAGCTCTGCAAACCCATGAGACACGATGTGTAGATCTTCAGGGGTCCGAGGGAGGTGGATGACCTGATGGCGAATAGCCACCACCTCCTCTGTGACCCATGCGGTGGACAGTGGAATGGGGTATTGCAAACACCCTGGAAAAGACTCTGTAGGATGCTTCACTTGCCAGCCAGAATGCAAAAACAAGGACCTCAATTGTGGCACCCCAACTATATGTCTCCGATCCTGGTTAAGGAGATTCAGCAGCACGTTCAGAGACTCTATGCTCAGGCGGAAATTGGGCCTAGTGTCCTCATCATTGAAAAACCTGTCCAGGACTGGGACACTCAGGTTGATCCTGCAGTACAGGGGTCATGTCTGGTGAAGGGAAATATGGCAAATGACAGAAATTGTTTTAATGTTGGCATCATTATGGATGTTGGTGTTGTTGCAGTTTACAAATCTGACTTTACGTGTCTACACTTTTTTTTTCATTATTGTACTTCAGGGAAATGTACTAAAATGTACTGGTTCACTGAAAAGGGTGGTGGTCCACATACTCCTATTTGAGACTCACGTCTACAGTGGTGAATATCGGAGTTTTAAGCTAGTGCACCGTTTTCAAATACACACACTTCAAATGTCAGTAGCAGTATCGTATGGGCAGCAAAAGCATTTATTCAAGTTACAATTCAGATTCAATCTGAGCAATTCAAATTCAAATTGAACTTATTCAAATTCAGTTTCTGATGGCACAGATTTCTGCCCATAGTATCAGTATGTGTTTTTTTCCACTCTACCTGAACGTGGTTTTGGATTAGTCACAACAAAATCACTCGTCTGTGACGAGGGACTTGTTGTAGCGAGTATGTTTTCCGCATCCATCGGGAGAAGTGGTAAGGGCGTGTCCAGCTGGTGACGGAATTTTGTAGGCTGGACTGTCCCATTTCACAAGCCTCCCACTTCCAGCCTTAGCTGTCTTTGAGTACGTGGCCCTTGTAGACCGTTAAGGCTGCAGACCCTGAATTGGGATACAGCCCTATTGCAGCATAAATAAGGGGGATTCAGAGTCACCTGATCCAGCCCTAACTAATATGCTTTAGCAAAAAGGATGGTTTTAAGCCTAATTTTAAAAGTAGAGATAGTGTCTGTCTCCTGAATCCAAACTGGAAGCTGGTTCCATTGACGAGGGGCACACAAACTGAAGGCCTGAGAACTGAAGGTTCTAGGAACAACAAGTAAGCCCACAGTGTGAGAGTGAAGTGCTTTAATAGGGTGATGTTGTACTACAAGGTTATTAAGATAAGATGGGGCCTGATTATTTATTACCTTGTATGTGAGGAGCATGATTATGAATTCAATTCTGGATTCAGCCGGGAGCCAATGAGGGAAACACAATACAGGAGAAATATGCTCTCTCTTTCTAGTCCCTGTCAGTAACTCTTGCTGCAGCATTTTGGATTAGCTGAAGGCTTTTCATGGGGTTTTAAGGACATCCTGATAATAATGAATTACAGTAGTTCAGCCTGGAAGTAATAAATGCATGAACTAGTTTTTCAGCGTCACTCTGAGACAGGATATCTCTAATCTAATCTGCACTATATCAAGCAGGACAAGCACAGAGATGAGTCCACTGTCAGAGGCCATAAGAAGATCATTTTTAACCTTCACTAAAGCTGTTTTTGTGCTGTGATGAGCTCTGAAACCTGACTTAAACTCTTTAAATAAGCCATTTCCCTGCAGATGATCTGTTAGCTGTTTGACAACTACTCTTTCAAGAATTTGGGATGTGAAAGGAAGGTTGGAGATTGTCCTATTATTAGTTAAGACAGCTGGGTTCTGTCATGTAATAAATATATTCTTAGGACCAAAATAACACCTATATGAGACACATTTTTAAATTCTAATGTTAGAGTTTCTTCAACTGGTTTTTGGGGCTGTGCAGGGCTCTCTCTTCCAGAAGATGATTGAATAAAGAAATATAAATGTTTTGACCACTCTGAGTCGGGTTTTCTCTGTTCTATCATGGTGATCAAAGAATCGGGTTTTAATAGTCCAGAGATGGGTTTTTTTAAAGAAATGGTTTAACTACTGCCAGCTTGAAGGCCTGCAGTACATAGCTGATTATTAGAGATAGCTTGATCATATTTAAGATTGAACCATCAATCAACGGCAGGACTTTTTTGAGCAGTTTTGTAGGAGTGGGGTCTAAATCATTCTAAGTCCACAAATCTGTTGCACGGCAAAGGATGAAAGTAGAAAAGTCTGGAAATCTGTGCTGTGTTGATTACGCATGCAAACTTGTAAATGAAAGAACAAGAAGTACTGGTTATCTAATCAAGTTAAGTCAATGTTGTTATCTCGGGTTTTACACCATGGAAGCAGTGTTGGCTCATTGTAAAAATGCCTTCCCTAACGTTTTGGTGAAATGTGTTATATATTTATCCAATAAAAAATATACTCAGGAGAAAAGCAGAGTTCAGTGAAACAGAGTTTACGGAGTCGACTGTTTTACTACAGGGAGTAGAATCTTTTCTTCCATTGGCCCAGGGTTACAATGACCCATTTGGCAAAATACAAGCAGACAAAGACAAAGACAAAAACAAAGAAATGGCCTTACAGAAAGAGGGGAAAGAAAGAAAAGTCCACAAAGCAGAGTGTGGTGACCGGGTGTGGTTTGCGGCTCAACTGCAGGGGAGAGGTGAAGCAGAGGGTTCAGGGTTGGAGTCAGGAGAGTCTGGCTGACACAGCTGCAAGTCATCACTTCCAATTTGATCTTAATAGAATGGTGGGACCTGTGACGTTGAGCAAAAAAAGGAAGGAGAGCAGAGGAGATGGATGAAAAATCTGTGTGTGAAACACTGTGAAAACTGTCTGTACATAGTTGACCTGTAAGTTCGAAGCAGTGTCGTGGTCCCCCAATAACCACTGATACATAATGAAGCAGAGAGAAAAGGCCTGGCTCCATGGTGAGCCCCTACAATGATTAAATGTTCCCTTGATCTTTCTCTCATCTCTAAAACGCTTTGCCGGGCCGCTTACACAGGACCATTTTCCCTTGGGAGACCCTACGAAGGAGCAAATCTTCTGTTTTTATTTTAAAAGTTAAATTTAACATGCATGTACATTACAGAATACCATTCCCATTCCCCCAACTTAGTTTGCTGGAAGCTGATAATCAAAAGTACAAGGTCCTTGTCAGTGGTTGTGAAAACTTGTATTAACTTAACTGTATCCTGCTGTGTGCTACATATGAGAAAATACACCTCCGTGTATTTTTCTGAGCCAATTCTCACAGCTGTTTCTGGATTTCATCTGTGGAAATGTCTAAGGAGAACAAGGTAACCACAACTGTAATATTGTATGACCTGCTGCCACTAAGTTACAAGGTTAACTTACTGTGGGTGTCTGTAGATAACATTGCCATATTAATCAATTAAGTCTTGTTCTATTTAAAATGAAAAGAGATATTTTTAACAGCTGTTGGCAAATTTTACAAAAACTGAGTTCTGAGTAACTGAGTTCCAGATGAAAGGTAAGTGGATGATGAAAGAGCCATGAAAGTACACACATACATGTAAAAAAAAATACACATAACAGACACATTTCCTAAAACTTAGCTGTATCAGTTATTTATTGCACACACAAATCAGTCGACATACAGGTTCAACTCGTTCCATTTCATCCCGTTGTTTAATTGTGGCGTACAAAATAGCCACAAAGTGTCTGCATTTAACCTTTCTAAGATTTTCACTGTTACACACTTCACATGTCAGAATTGTAAATGTAAAAAAGAAGATCTATTCAGTACCTTCATGTACAGCTTTACTTTAAAATACATTAAGCAGTTATTGGTCACTTAATTGCAATGCATAACGTAGACAGATATTCAGAAGAGCCTAATGTAATAGTCAGCAGTTGTAAATATTTGTCTAACTCAGGGGTGGGCAACTCCAGGCCTCGAGGGCCGGTGTTCCTGCAGGTTTTAGATGTGTCCTTGAACCAACACAGCTGATTTAAATGGCTAAATTAGCTCCTCAACATGTCCTGCAGTTCTCCAGAGGCCTGGTAATGAACTAATGATGTGATTCAGGTGTGTTGACCCAAGGTGAGATCTAAAACCTGCAGGACACCGGCCCTCGAGGCCTGGAACTGCCCAGCCCTGGTCTAAGTGGTAATAACAGAAAAAACCCTGTTTTCATAGAAGTTACTTTAAACTAATATTGCCCTGTAACCTTTAAAAATAATAATAATAATAAAACCATATTTACACATGGAATGTATTCATAATGTACCTGTTAAAGTTATATTCTAATTATATATTATAATTCAATAAAAATACTTTTGACAAAAAAAATTGTATTTACTGTACAGAACCACAAGCGGTCTTTAGCCCAGGTGCAAAAAACATTTCAAAACATCCAAGGTAAGTGTAGGCAGCAGTCGTTTTTTAATGTTTTATCATATTCGTATCACTAAATATCCAAAAGTTCATAAAAATGTAAGTGGAGTTTCTGACAGTTTATTTATTAAACATAAAACAAAATCTTTAAAACAAAAACTCTAGATATGTCAGTGGTGACCTGGTTGATATTAGCCTGTCTTTTAATGCAAGAAACATTCAGACAGGAGTTAAAAAAGGGGGATTTTTGGAAGACATCACTTCCTCTATATATACAGTATGGTAAGTAAAGATGAGGCCTAGAACATGAACAGAAGGAGTAAAGCAAGAAGAACGTCCTTCAAGCCTTAAACTATTTTCTACACACATCAACAGAAATCTCATGTTTGAAATAATTTTCTACACTAAAGTTTAAAAAGTAATTAAAAATTAGGGCCACAGGGATAAATATATTTCACTCCCTATGTTATGTATATTCCCATAATTGATGCATGGGTACCGTTTGATAGGACATATGCAACAGACGTCAAAGATAGAGGTTGTTTATAATGTTATTCATGCACCTTGGAAAATTCTCAACTTCTTAATCGCAGTGAGAAATAAATTCTATCATACACTGACCCTTTGCAAAATATCCATTTAATACACTGTAAGGTCAATATGCTTAAGGATATCTGTTTCTGTGTACCTTGCATTTCCCAGAAACTGTGAACACAGAGAGGACTGTAACTTGAGAACACAGTCAGGGATCATGTTTTGTAGTGTTAAGAACGGGTGTGACTGCATGTTTTGTAGTGTTAAGAACGGGTGTGACTGCACGTTTTCACTTTGACAGTTTTTAAACTTGATTAACAAAGACTCAGATATGTAAAATGTCACTCTTTAAATAATAAACTACATAAACTGTGTAGTTTAAATATACAGTGGAACAATACTAGTTCAGTTTCAATAAAATTTGAGATTAGGGGATTTTACATGAGTATCATAATAGCCTATATGTGAATATAAAAATACATATTTTTTTAAAGAGTCATGGAAAGTCTGCCCTGTTGTTTCATGTTGCATTTTTATTTTATTTTTTCAGTTTATGGTTAGCAGTATGGGCCTGGGTTTTTAAAGTCATTCCAAATCTGCTCACGGTTAGTGTTTGGATCAGTTGTGGTGGCTACTATCCTGGAGAAGGCACATCGATTATATGGCAAAGGAAATACATGGAAGTAACCCCAGTTTGGGGAGTCAGTGGGAGGAATGCCCAGGTGCTGCATTAACAACCCTAAATACACATCCTCAATGTAAACTGCTTTAACATGTCTGGATGCCTCAACGAGCTTTTTTGGGAGGTCTAAAGACAAAATGTAGCCCAGGCCCAGAGCATAGCGGGGGTACTGTGGCGGAGCATAAATGTCATGAGGTAGGTACCACTTAGAGCTTGGATCTCGCAGTACTGTACCGCCACTTGCCACAAGCCCAGTCATATAGTTTGCTTTTTGAGCATTCAAGAGCATACTGACCAGATTATGTACATTCAGAAACATGTCTGAATCAATCTTCATAGCATAAGAGGGGCTGGAGCAGTGTGCAGTTAGCCACTCCAGCATCACCATGGTCTTAATGGTGAGATTCTTGTAGCAGTCCACAAAGTTGCTCTGGATCAGGTCGTGATACTCTTTGCTCTCCTGAAGTACTTGCTGTTGGACCTGCTCCACCTCCTCCCCAGTGTGCAGCCCCAGTAAAAAGAACAGCCTCACCACTTTGTCCTGGACAAGACTTTCACTCCCCCAGGTTTTGCGGATGATGTCACGGTGTTGTCTATTGTTTGGGGCCACAGGAACGATCAGAACCACAAATGGGTTCTCCTGTTCACATTTCTGTGGCTCATTTATGATGTACTGGTAGTCATGGGGGTATTCAACTAAATATGGTCCAGGAGACACGTAAGGAACAGGTGTTGGTGGTACAGTTGTATTTTGAGAAGTGGAGTTGTCATTAGTTGTAGTGTTTAGTGAAGATATGTTTAGTCTCTGACCACTGAAGAAATTCAACAAATTTGCTGATGGATTTTGCATCCACTTTTTTGGGTTTCCATCTGGCATTATTGTATTTCTGTTGTAAATCAGGAACAGACCTGCAAATACCAGAATAAAGACGAAATACTTGTTCCGGGAAAACTTGCACCACCTCCCATCCTCTGCTGGTTTCGCACCTTCCACCATTTCTTGGCTAAGAGGAGAGATAAGGTATTGAGATATCTTTCTGTCAGTGGTTTTGCTTTCAAACAAATCAATTCATCCAATTATTAAATGCAAGTTATTAGAGTGCCATTACCTCACACGGGCTATTTTATCAGTTTAATGATCCCTCAGGATCCCTCAGAATCATTAAATGGATAAAACCTTAAAGTAATGTTTTAGCTTCATATTTATTCAAATTTTCTATAGAAATATCTCTCAACTAGTGACCGTTTGCTTTCCTACTCCCTTATTTGAGAGACATGAGAGACAAAAATGCATTTAAAAAGGTTACATACCTTCATTGGATGTTAACATTCAGTTTTCTAAAAATGTAAGCTTTTCCCCTTGTCCAGTTATACAAAGAAAAAACTGAGGAGATGTTGTTTTGCTGAAAAATTCATGTCAACGCTGGCATTTTGTTTCACAGGGACAGACTAGAGCAGACACCAAGCACTGTTAAAGCTTTCCAGGGATTAACAGCCCATCCTATGACTGTTCTAAGGCTGAGCGAGTAACCATGGCATTGTGTGACGTCTCTTACCTGTGAGGCAGCCACACCTTTTTTTTCTCCACACCTTTGTTTTGCCTGCGAAAGACTCCTAACCGTCCTAAGGCTTCGTGAATACCTGTTTGCCTTTTCTGATCTTGAGTGTAACTAAATTACACGTGTGTACAAAAATATATATATTTCCAATTTTGTGATACATATAAATATCAACTTTTTTGACTGAAAGTTGCTGTAGGGTGCTCACATTAATTGTCTATTATTTAACTTTTGACCAGCTTGGAAGGCTCTTGCGTAACACCAATACACACCTGTATGATTACTGGTTCGAGGAACAAGATCCTTTATCTAAGTATTATATTAAGAAGTTAAGAGCAACATTAAGTATTACACTGCTCCATGTCAGTTTGTAAACAGCCATTTAAGAGACAGTCTAGGTATCACAATGTTATGGCATAATGTGAATGTATCACTGTATAATCCACATTATTATCTGTAGCTAAAATGTATTGATGACTTCTAAACAACTCATATGCAGGAACGTTGTTGAGAGTTAATAGACATACACACTGTTCTGAAGACAGAAACTGGTCTGTTCACAAAGCATTATTCATTTGCATTTGTTGACGTTGTATAACGAGAAATGCCAGTTTGCGGGTATTTCCTACTTTCATTGTCTACTTCTGCTAATGCAAATGTGCACCAACAGTTCACTACCTAAAACTTCCTGTCTGCAGGAATGTGGGAGTGAACCAGGATGAGGTCAAACAAACAATAGCTCGATAGCTCTCAACAGCTGCCTCAGGCATATGCCTCTGCTGTACGAAACTAGATAACATGTAAAGGAGAGGCAAGCCAGTGTGTGTGTGTGTGTGTGCGTAAGAAGAGATAGTCAGACAGTGAAGCTGCACCCAATGGAGTAGAAGAAGAGCGCCAAGAGGTTAGGATCAACCTGTGCGCCAATACAGGGGGCTTAAGTCTAAACTATGGCCCTCCCCAATGGTTTTTTGACCAATCAGAGAGAAGCACATTCTTGTTTATATATTTTTTTACTGCCAAATTAGGGCTACGTGTCTTCCGGAAATTGGCTACAGCAAACTCCTGCAGACTGTGTTTTTTTTATACATAATTTTTTTTTTAACTGCTTGAGGCAGTAAATGAGTGAAAATTTGGATTGGGACTGAGACCCTCTCTTGCCTTGGATAAAAAGAACCCCAACAGTGTGTAAACTTATCAGCTGTTTGGGCTGCATTTTTTGGGGGGTTAATGTGACAGGACTGAGGAAACGGAAGCAACCTCATGCTCCCTTCCAGAAAATAGGACATTAGAACACTACCAAAAAATGCCCTCTAGAGTACTGTGTGAATTTTATAAATGTAGGGTTTTCCTACTTGATTTTCAGTTTTTGTTGTTTCTTTTGAAACTGACAATTTGTTTCAAGGAGACGAGTACATGCTCACACAGTCACCCCAAGATAAAAGGAGAGATATTCTGATGTCGCAGTCATGAATGCAACTCTGCGCTGAAACCTGTTTCTATGACTGAGCGGACATAACAACATCATTCCACCAAGCTGAAATTACTTCTGAATACTTTTAAGTTAAACTATGTTATAATTTCAATATGATGACACAAAGTTTGCAGACTTTTCTCCATATAATGTGTTCTATCCTTATGTTATATGAGTCATTGAATATCATATCATTTGCTGTCCTGGACTTAACTCTAAAAACCTGGAGGGACTCTGTTTTCATGTTATTCATATATTGCTAGGTTGATGGATTTTTCTTGTCCATTCCAAATAAGATATAATTAAAAAAACAAAACAAAACGGTATTTCAACAGTAATCTTAAAATGAGATAAATCTGTGATTATAATAATATTATTAAAGGACAAAATCCATTCATTCATCAAATATTATCAAAACTACTGTTTATAATGTGTTTATTTATGTATTCTTTTTTTTAGGATTCAGACACTTTCCCACAAATTTTGCGTGGTTTATGTCCTACATTCAGGTTAAGGTGGTCATATGATGTTGATGATATTGCTTTGATTGCATAATGAAAGATCACAAAAAATAACTTTCATTTATGTATTTAATCTAACAGGTTATTATTTCCTTAAACATGAAGTCAAAAAAATTAACAAATCAATTATTAATTAACAAAGTTATTTACTTGAGGGTGCTTCATTCTTTTGAGGGAATGATTTTCAATGCTTTCTTAGATGAAGGCAAGTTGCAGTTACATTTTCTAATACAAGAAAAGGCAAAACAGACATTTTAAAATATGTTTTATTATCAGTCACTTTAGGAATCTTCATGCACTTTAAAAATATTTTGAACAAAAGCTGGACGTCAATTTGAAAAGTAAGAGGGGTGATCTAACTTTTTTCAAAATTGCAAATTCAGACACATTCATTGGATTACTTTACTAGCGTTTAATACCAAACAGTTTAACTAAACCAGCTATTTTGTCAGATGTTTATCTGATTCGAAACAAAAAAGCACACTTTTTAATGTGATGTTAACAGGAACTGCTTGGAATAAATCTTTTTGTTGTTGTTGTTTAAAACAAACACCAAAAAACACTAAACAATGTAAATGAGCTTTAAAAAAGTATTTAGTTTTTCTTACACTAAAGCTGATTTATCTCCTAAAACATAAACATAATACTGATGGTATTCTACACAATAATCTCCATGACTGTAAGTAATTTCCAACTGATAGCTAGAAATTAGAAACATAATAAAAAGTGTATTAGAAACTCACATAGAGAAACTTCAGGTCCCATAGGATGTGCTCATGAGATCATCAACAGTGAACTGGGTCCCATAGCTGTAGTGAGAAAAAATATATATATATGTGTTCTTAAATCTCAGAAGCAGAAGCATAAGAAGCACGTCATTATTTTAGCTGTTTAGCTTCATTGACATGTATTCAAAGAGAACTGCATCATTAGTGGCTCCTGATTAAATCCTGCCAATAAGTGTCACGGTCCCCGTGTCTCTCTGGCTGGCCAACGCTGGCTACAGGTTTTGTTGTTGTTCGTTTTGGTTTTCTCTGTCTCTCCTCCTCCTCTCTGCCTGGGTGGAGCTCGATACGGGCTCTCGCTCTTGGCCCACGCACCCGTGTGATGGTGTCCACCTGCGGCTGATCTGGCTGATTTCCCCAGCTGCTATTTAAGGCAGTGGCACAGAGCAGCTCACCGCTGGAACGTTGAACTACCTGAATTCTGGACCGAATCACCGGACCTGTCCAAGTGGGGCAGTGTGTGGAGTGTTGGAGCGAGTGCGGCTGAAGAGGAGTGCGTGTGTGCGGAGGAGCGGTGGCGGTGACTGAGTGGAAAAGGAAGCGTGTGTGTGGATCCCCCCCCCCCCCCCCCTTCTCTCCCTGGAGCCCTGGACCCCCTCCCAACTCACTGTACATATATTTTGCACTAAGGTGATCCCCATTGTAAATAAATCCCCTTTTGTTTCCTTGAAAAGAACTGTCTTTCCCTTTGGCAACCCTATTAGTTAGGTATATGTAATTATAAATTAGGTTGTTTTATATTTTTGCTAAGTACTGTTTAGAATACCAGAATAGGGAGGATGGTGTAGGTTTAAGTTTATTATAAAGGCGTTATGGCTTTTCCCATAATACCATGGTGGGCCGTTCACTAGTCAAAATGCCCGGGCTGATTTTTTGTCCCATCCCTGGTACTACATTCTTATTTAGTATACACCCAACTCTCATAAGAATAAGTGGAATGGATGGATGAATGGATAATACAGTCCTACAATCTTCTTTATCAATATTATACAAATGACCACTTTATTCATTCATTCATTCAGATATTTTGGTGGTGATTAGTATGGCATCTTAAGCATAGTGTATATGTTTGTGTCTATAATTAGCTTATTTTCCATTGATTCACAATATATAATTAATTAAGCTTGATCATGAGTGTATCAGAGAAGTCCCTTTCTGAGCTATGCCACTGATATAAAAGATATATTTTCAGCTTGGTCTCTCCGAGTCTTATTTTAACCATAATGTTTGTGACTTTCTCACCCACTGCTCCCAGATTTGTCGCTCCCAGAGAGAGGAAACATCACAGCACTGAGGCTGATCCTTAGCAATGAGATTTTGTCGCAATCAATTTTACTTTGATAATCGCCAAGGCAACAGTCTATTGTGAGAATGAGGACCACAAATGACTTCCTCTTTGCACTCAGAGATACAAAACAGGACTCACCAACTGTAAACATTAAAACCTGCCCATGTAATTGATCCCTGATACGGAAATAAAAAAGTACTGCATGCAACTCCTCAAAGTGCAAATATTTCGTCCAAAGTCCAGTACAATGAGGATCAAAAAGCAAACATAATCCAGGATGAAGCATTCATGAGTACATTAGTTTATTAAAAAAAAGAAAAGAAAAAAAACCAGAATGAGAAATATTGCATTTCACTGTGGTTTTTATTATTTTATTTATTTTAATAGTCTATCAATGAGGTTCTGAATGATAAATGAATAAACCTCTCTTTAAAACTGTTGAGTCATTGTTCATACTTAAGTGAGGGCAAGTTATCACGCTTTTCAGTGAAACATCAGAACTTTGTAAAGAAAGTCTTTATTTCACCATTCCATGTTTATTCCAAATTAGGATAGGCCAGGTGTAACAAGTTCAGTTACATCAGTGGTTCCCAAACTTTTATTGCTAGGCCCCCCTTTGTTTTACAAGAAAAATATTCGCGCCCCTCCGACCCCCCCTGTCGTGTTTTTAATAAAACATCAGTAGTAGTGAGCAAGCTTCTTTATTTTAACGTGGCTCACATCCATGCATGTAAACATAACCCGCCGCTGCTTCTACGACACAGTATATATCACAATTTGGTTTAGACACCCCCCTAGTGGTGAAGCTGAACTAACCCACATAACTCCTATCAACACATCCCCTTTTTTAGATTCTTTAGATGTTAACTGCTGAACAACACTGTGGAAACATACCTAACATTGCATAGCTTGAATTACATCCCAAACATTTGTGACAGTGTAAACTACTGAACACACAGTAATGCAGAAAGTTCCTTTTTGATATATGTATATATATCTTGCTATATATGTATACACCAACATATACATATATATATATATATGCTTAAAGGTTTAGTCTATCAGGTGGCTTGATAGAGCGTGCTGATCACAGGTGTTGTTGGTTCAAGTGGTGTGTTGTTGTCATCACACTGTCCTTCCGATGATCCCATTGTCTTTTGAGTGTACAGTAAACTTCAGTTTTCACATTATATGATCTTGGGTTTACCTCCTCCAGTACAGTTGCTCTCTTTGTCCAGATGTTTGCATTATTTCACACCTCAAACATTTAAGCAAATACAAGTAAACTGCAATAAATTATAAAATAAACTACTAACTCTTGTATGCTAGGTCCGCACCTACATGGTTATTTTTGAAAACGCAGCTGTTTCGTCCACACGTAAACGGCGTTTCAAATCACCGAAAACTGCGATTTTTGCATTTACGTGTGGACAAGGAATACAGAGTTCGTCACGCAACGTTAAAGGTATGTGCCTTTTTTCACGTCACGCTGTGCGCCACGTTATTGTTTACATGAGATGAATTGCAGAATGGCAGATAGTCAATCTTCAGGTTTTACACGCTTACATACACACACGCAGTTACTGTCCCTCCATTTACAAAGGCAGAGGCGTCACGGTGTGATTATTTTACGTGTAGTTGTTTTTTTTCCCTGTGTAATAATATTCAACATTGCTATCAATACATTTTTCAAAAAATGCCTCTCAAGGGAACCATGAACCGAGGGACAAATCGTGGCAGGATCAGCCTGATGTTATTTGTATCCCACTGTAACTTTACTGTATAAAGAGCTAACATCTCCAAAATGTCAGGAGTAGTTAGTCATTACAACAAGTGTTTGTGAACTAAAAATCAAGAATGTGGGATACTGTTTGTCCGTGATTTGAAACAGCCCAGCGCTGCTCCCGACGAAGGGAAAACCAATTCTGCAGGGGAGACCTACCTCGGCACTTGTGCAGGTGAAACCAAAGGGAAGATATGCTTCACCATATTTTCTAGTCTTTGGCTTAGAATGAAGTTGGTTTGGAAACATATTCAGCGATGCTTCATCTCCTGCTTTGCGTTTGTGTGGGTGCCCAGTGCTAGCAGCGTCCCCCCCCCCTCCAGGGGCTGGGCCCCACACTTTGGGAAGGTCTGAGTTACATGATCAAGTATGCAACATGTTGTACAGCTATGAATTCTCTTGTGGGTAAAGTGTTATAAACCATGCAGATGTGGTTTTACTGCACTAGAAAATTTCTCCTTTAATCGTGTGCATCTGATATTTCCGTTTATAACATGAGTGACTAAATTTCAAGTGGGGGAATCACTTAAATTGTGACAATTTCTTGTTAACCTAATGAATGCATTATTCCCACAAAACATCTTGTTTTAATCTGCAAAAGATGAAACACACACACTCACGACTTTTGAGTCAGCAAAACAGCAGCAGACCACTTCCTTTTTGGTGGCTCCTCCTCAGATACAAATAAAGCTCAAAGTGAAGTTCAAGTCTGCTTCTGTCTCAGTCTGATGATCATGATGTTGAAATTAAACCAGGCAGCACTGCTCTTCACTCAGCTATTAGTGGTGTGGCATGTCTTTGCAGGTACAGAGTATATTTATGTCTTTTTATCCAGATCAAATACAAATATATTTCTAATTTTTTTTCCTTTAAACAATAGAGTTTGTTGAAAAAGGACACAGAAATATGATGGTGTTCACAGGAGATTCTGTGACAATGACTTGCAACATATCTGAGCCAAATGCAACGCAAATCTCATGGACCAACAACAGATCTGTTTTCCAATATTCCATTGTGCTGAATCGCACCTTTTCAAATTTCTCATTTTATAAACTGAAAATAAATCACGAGTTACCTACAGAGATAATTATTTTTAGTGCTCAATCTGAGGATAAAGGACTTTATACATGTAGCATAACTGGCGCAGATGGCCTACAGGGCATTACGTGGAATTTAACTGTGTCTGAGAAGCCCAAAGGTGGGTAGAACAAAAACATCTCCCAATCACTTTTAGTAAAGCTTCAATAACCAATGAAAATTACATCTATGCTGCTTTACAGAATCCATTTCAAAGTATTTTCTATCCATACTGTCAACTGCAATTGGATTTCTTCTATGCGGCATCATGTTGGCTGTTTTCCTCTGCAGGTGAGTAAAACCTTTTAAACTTCATAACGGTTAAAAGAATGTAGCTCTTCTTTGTGCTGCTGTACATTTATTGTCAGCTGGGGAGACTGATTTGATCATAAAACTGACATGCCATTTTCTATTGTGTCTCCTTGGATGATTATTCTTATGTTTACCATACCATTTAGCTTTATTTTGTTTATGTCCAGGTGTTCAAATATCGAAAGGGTGCATCAAATAAGAAAAAAAAAGAGGGAAATTGGCATTGATTTCTGTGGCTCATATCACAGTGAAGATTTAAATTTAATTGCATATATTAAATTGCAAGGTAATGCTAATAAAGAAAATATATGCTGCATTGCAGATTAATCCAGATTCATAAAGTCTAAATGAACTGATATCTTTCGATTCAGTTCAATAACAAAATCATTACATTAGTTTTCACAGGCCGAATGCTCACACCAGACCAAGAATTCACTGAGCTCAGAAGGTTATTTTATTACTAAAATTAATCTTTTATTTCATAACCAGTTGAATTATTAGTTTTATTAGTTATTAGTTTACAAAATAATCAAAGGTTTGAGTAAACCTAAATGCTTTTTTTGACAATTAAAGAAAGAAAATGTAATTGCATAGTTTGGTTGGTATTTTTGTAAGTACTGCAAACTAGTTCTAAGTTTGACAGGTGTACCCAGCATGTTCATGGCTTTTTTCTCTATAGGGTCGAAGGTGCAAAGAGGAAATGGCACTAGCATAAAAATAGTTAGATGCAGTTTTAATACACTGACTCTGAAGCCATTTTTATTTTGTGGTAACCTGCTTGTTTTCACTCTACAACCACAAAAGTACACCAATGTGGTATTTTAAGGCTTAACACTTTCATACTTAAACCTAACTACTTTTGGCCATCATATTTTAAAATACCAAAAAACAAAACAAAAAAATGCAACAAAAAAACTCTCTTGGAGTAATTTTGGTAAGTTTGTCATTCCTGGGAAACTTCACCACTGTTCCAAGTTTTCTCCATTTGCATGTAATGGCTCTCACAGTGGTTCACTGAAGTCCAAAGCCTTTGAAATGGCTTTGTAACTGTTCCAGACTGAGAGACGTCAGTTATTTTGTTTATTTTTTGACAGACCAGTGTTAAACAGTGATGCTAGTATTGGTCATCGTGCAAATATACTGTTTATAAGGGGAAACCTGCAATCAGTTCAGACTGAAGAAGTCATTTGGATGAGTGATGAAATGTTTGACCCAATGAAAACACTAGATCCAGAAGAACAGGATCAACTTTCTGGGATTTCCTTACCTAGATAATTGAGCATGCATCAAGACCTTTCAGAATATCGCAAAATTAAACCCTATTACTGCAGTAAGCAAAATACAAAACAGACTAGAAAAACTGACAAACAGTAATCATACTGTATTTGCAACTATTTAAATACACTGTCTTTATAGACACGCATATTTTTTTTTTCACATTTTCATGTTGGTGCGTGTAATTAAAACCATGGTTTCATACATTACATCTATAATTCATTCCTCTACTTAAATATCAAAATACAATTATAAATAATCATCCTTATCACTATTAGCAACTTTTCAAAGAGACTGGTGTCTTGTGTTTCTTATACACTGTAATAAGTACAGTGCCTTTACTAACCAGCTGTCATAGAATAAAGTACTGAAGCACCTGCTGGACAGCAATAATATGGTCACTGCTTTTTCTCAACAGAAAATTTATGATGAGGACACTGAATCAGGATCCAGTCGAGGATCAATTTCCTCCTCAGTCAGAAGAGGTCATAAGATCTTTATTATCTTTAGCATTCTTACATCTCTGCCTTAATTCCTATCTTAGAATCTCCTCTAATATTTATTTGTATTTTTTTGTCTTTGTATGTGGGTCTCTCTTAACCACAGGGTACCACTGCTCATTTGAAAAATACCACATGGAGGAGTCAATATACAGAGTTGCAGAATTCAATCTATGGTCACTTCTAAGCTGACGAGACATCCAGATATACAGTTACACCGAGACTTGGACATTTTTCTGTTTCAAAGCAGGAACTGCAAGGGAACACAATCAGAGGGAGGACAACACTGCTACTGTAGCCTCTTCAGCTCAAGGGCACATCTCTGGCTTCGAGCATGGCAGTTTCAATCATTCACATCCCTGTTTTTAGAAAAAGCAGGCAATGAGAAGAAAGTTTGCATTATTGGAAGAGGGACAAACATGTTGTTTCAGGGTCAGGATGAAATGCAACGCCCAGTATTAGATAAAATACAGATTCTCTGAAACTGTAAATCAGACTTAGTGGAGTGGAGCCAAAGTATAGAAATATGGAGCAGGAAATTAGAAATAGTAGGTGCCTTTACCACTTGTTTGAATTTGACTGAATGTTTTTTTTGTTTATTTTGTTTTTTGTTTGGCTGCACTATGACGTCAAACAAAGTTATTGCCATTTCAAGAAAGTATTCTTAAATCAATGGTTTACCTGGAGCTTTGTCCACTAAGGTTTTGTGAGGGAATATCACAGAATGGACAACTCCGATTAGGTTAGCTTTTAAATGTGTATAAAATCAAATGGTTATAATTTCATGATTAATGCTACAGTCCTCCAAGACTTCATTACATCCCATCAGGGTATTCATGTTATCTAGTCAGCTTTTATTCAGATCATGTTATTGAAGTACGGATTGCTTGGAATTGTTTTAAAATGTCTTGTAATTTAAAGTGAGACCTAAACTCATTAACACAAACCACTGACCCATCTGGCCATATGACATTCATTGAGTCACAAGACCCTGTTAGTACCATATATAGTATACTGCAGTATAAACAACAGTGAAGATATGCCACATCTTGTGGCCCTATCCCAGTTGTTCTAAAATACGTTGCTACCATCAAATTCAAAATGAGTTTTTTAAAACTGTTTTTTAAATTTAAAAAAAGTAAAATATTCATTTAAACACTTGCTGCATTTTTAATTTTCTACTGTCAATAAAATCTGAGTTTATGAGATGTGGAAATTTTTGCATCCTGTTTTTATTTACAATTTAAATAGCATCCCATCAGAACTTAGTTTGTAGAACAAAGTTTAGTGTCATTCATAAAAAATGTGAAATAAAGCGCTGCATGGTCACAGTTTTACTTTTGCAGAAAAAGCCGGACCAGGTGCCTGAACAAGGACCTTTACAAAAACAGCTTGGAGGAAAGGTTAGAATAACGTTGTATTATTCAGATTTTCATTTCTCACAGTGTTTTCAGTCATGCATTCACCTTTTTCATAGCTTCCATAGTTTTATCTGTAATTCTTGCAATGAAAAAACAGTGTTACTAATTTATCTTAAACCTCACTGGACCATTGTGTGTGACCATAACATTATGTGTCAAAGTTATGTTATTTTTTCTATTATTATTATTATTAATTATTATTATTGCTTTCTGTTTCTCTTTCTAAGGACTTGGGACATGTACCAAAAGTTCTTGTATGATTGTAGTTTACTATTACTACTGATAATAATATGACAATATATTTTCTGCACTCGCATCAGATTCCTTGTCCTGATCAGGAGGAGTTTCACCTACATGGCCGCTATAACAGTTTTTGCTTGACTCGGGTTCCATTCACATTATATTGTGCATCTTCCAGTGACGAGTCCAGAGGAGAGCTGCCTCCATCCTCAAAGACCCCACACACACCCAACATGGACTGTTCACACTTCTACCCTCAGGACGAAGGTTTAGAAGTGTGAAATCCAGAACATCTCGACTCAACAACTCCTTCTTCCCCACTGCTATCAGACTCTTGAACAGCTGACCTATTTTAACAGTAACAATGATTTTTGCACATCAGGTCATCTCACTCACTTCTGTTGTGTTTTGTACGTGTTTCTGAGTTTTTACGTGTTTCTGAGTTTTTACGTGTTTTGGAGTTTGTACGTGCTTCGGGGTTTGTACGTGCTTTGGTGTCTGTACGTGCTTTGGAGTTTTTACGTGTTTTGAAGTTTGTATGTGCTTTGTCTCTAGGGGCCACTTGTAAATATACTTTTATTTATTCACTCCACATAAAATGTAATGTAACCATTAAAATATAAACACTTAAGCTAGACAGATAGTAGACAAAACCATTCAGACAAAATTCGTTTATTTCATAATAACCATTCAGACATTTTACAATGCAAATCACCAAAACTGTGTCTAGTTCTCAATTCATCCATTTCAATCTTCTCTAATAAATAGGTACAATCTAAAAGAAAATGAAATACCAAAAACAAAATATTCTCGCACACAATCTTCCTCATAAATCCCAAACCAGATGTTGAGGTTATTTCTCAGACTGGTAGAACCAAACCTTAAATTAAATCTTGTCTTTTCCACAACCTTTACACCAAACACCAGGAACATTAAAGAAATAATTTTAAAACATTGGCATATCCTTCAAAGTGATCCAAACTTACCAGGGATTTTTAAAGAACCACCAATGATTAGAGAGGTAAAAACATTAGAGATATGCTTGACAAAGCTTTCCAGGACCCTAAAACTCCAGAAATAACCTTGATAAATCATAACCTACAAATAATTTTAAATGTGGGTCTTGCATAAACTGTCAATACACAAAAAATTTTAAATGATTTAAACACCCTATTAGTGGCAAGCTCATTGACATAAAGGGTTTTATGACTTGCAAAACTAAAAATGTAATCTAGATGACACAGTGCCCATGCAAAAGAAACATAAGAGAAACATCCTCTAAAAGAATGAATTAATGAACACAGAAGTTTGATTAAGAGAAATGATTTAACCAGTCCTGTTGCAAGACATTTTAATTAAATAATTCACCTTTTTTTTTTATAGGCATTAAAGCCATTAAACCTAGTCAAAGAAGTGGCAATATTAATTTTATCAGAAAAAAAGAGAAGCATTCTGATATTTTGTTTGAATAGTTTACAGCCTACAGGTATGGATGAGGACTTTGATGTCTCTGATGACTTATCCAGGAGCTCATAAAAGATCCCAGAGCAACATCTAAATAACTGCAGGCTTCATTTGATTTAGTTAGGGTCAGTAGTAATAAACGATAAGAAAGAGACTGCACAAATGGCACCAATCGGAGAATTCCAAGGAGAAAAATACTGCTCATCAAAAAGTCTCATTCCATATTTGTCATATTCATCCTAATAATCCCCAAGACCTTTAGGAAAATAATGTCAGGACTTTTGAGAGAAAATTTGAACTGATTGAAAGGTTTGCAGTGTAGCACAACTAACAAAGCCACCCAGATCATTTGTGTCCTAAACAAGGTTTACATTTGTACTTTTTTTCACCACTTATTACACGTAATACAAGTTATATATTTTAGAGCTGTTTGCCTGTGTTACTTTCCATTTGATATTCATCTATCAGCTTTTCCTCTACAGAGCAATAAGGAAGTGGTGCCTTCAGCAGTCTCGTGTTAACTTTGAAGCTGATCATACATTTAGATAAGGAGTGTTCAGCATCTCATGTGATTTGTCTTTCAGAATGTTTTCCCGAATGCCCAACATCTGAATAAAGGGGGAGTTTCTTTTAAAAAAGAAAAAAGACAAACTAACAATATAAATCTCACCAAATTGATTAAAATCACTGCCTGTATACTGTATCGCTCATCAGCCTGTGTACTTTGATATCCTTCTGCCATTTTAATTTTTTTCTTATTTTTTAACCAATAACCAATAACTATACCTTTAAAAAGGTATAGTTTAAGGTTTAGATACTGGCAGTTTTTAGAGCTGTTGGTAACGTACTGAAGTACTTTTTTCTTTTTTTATTCTCCCAGGTTTTATTTTTGTGTGTAACCTCCATAGATTGTATGTTGATGGGCCACTGTGAGATCAACCAGTTTCTGAATTCTCCACTACTCAATAAACAAAATAAGGAGTCGTAATAATAATAATAATAATAATAATAATAATAAAACATCCTTTGGGAAAAAGCCGAGAAAATGCATATATTTATCTTACCTCATAAGAAGTCATGCAAGCATATAACCATGTTGTTTACATTACAGTGTAAACAGAAGAAAACCACTGAAAGTATTGTAGTTCATGCTGTCGTCATAGACAATCCTGTTTGCCTGGAGCTCCACATACACATTGTCTCCCACTTCGAGAGGGATGACCACAGCATTGCTACCCATGTCATTGGCATCACTTCCACTGGTATCCCAGACGGATGTCAGTCTTTTACCATTCTTCATGAGGCTTACAACGGAGTTGGGAACAGAGTTGAGGTTGTTAAACATTGAGAATCGAAAGAAGTACATTCCTTTGGTCATGGCTGTGAAAATCCCTGTCAAAAAATTAAAGCTGGTTAGATTTCACAGGTTTTCATGACTTTCTCTTTCTCCATGCATTACCGTACTTTCTCTGTTACAGAGATACTACCTGTTGAAGGATTGTAGCCACTGCCTGTGTTGGAGAAAATGTTCTTGTACCGCAGTGGAGTAGGACTGTCAAAAGGGCCAGTGTTTCCAAAGCCAGAATCAAGGAGGGCTACAGAAAAGGCTACCTGAGGAATGCCTGAAAGCAACAAATTTAATAAGAATTTCCAGAACAAAATTACATTTCAATCTTACAATTAATCAAACCAGGTTGACTCATGTTACCTCCAATACGTTTCTGCAGATCCATGACTTCTTTTTCAGTTTTTTGAAGCTTGATTTCTAGAAGCGTTATTTTATCCGCAATGTTTGTGACTTTCTCTCCCACAGCTCCCAGGTCTTGAGTTATACGAGTGAAAGAGCAGACATCACAAATTTTGTCACAATCGCTTTTAATCTGAGAATCACAAAGACAGCTGCCGATTGCCAGAATGAGGACTGCAAATGACTTCATCTTTGCACTTTTGTGCTCTGCTTCTCTGTTCAGAAGTCCTTGACTTTTATCTCTTCAGAGATGCAAAACAGGATGTGGCCAACTGTAAACATTAAAACAAGTTTTACTGGTCAGGTCATTAAATACATCAAATATTAGCTTTAACATCCTGGCCACTGTCAAAACACAAACTCCTCACAGTGCAATCTTTCCATCCAATGTTCAGCACACTGAAACATAGAGGCAAGGGAAAGAGCTGTAGGACACAGATTAGTGAGTGACAAAGCCATAATCCAGGACAAAACAACATTAGTACAAAGAAACAAATAAATATAAAAATAAGTTATGAAGTTATGAATGATCAGTGTTGGGACTAA